CTAAAATGCCCCCCTCCCCCTTAAATGAAAGCATCCCATTACATGTATGTTTGGTTTATAGCAGGAAACAGCTATAAAAGTGACCAAACGTATACTTCTGAAGGTCTTTAAACAACAAAGTCACCATAAAAAAATCACCACAGATCAATTGAAATACTTCAGAATTTCACTTGGAAAATTATTGGACGAAATCCCAGGATGACAGTAAATGACTTGTGGTTTATAAAACAATTTTGCAATATTTAATCACTTCTGTACTATAATTAACTCCATCATTCTAAGTCTGCATCAGCATTCACTGAAGTGTTCAGCACCGAACCGGAACTGTTCAGACACAGGTGGAAGACGAGCCTGTCGCACCACTCTCCTTTGGGTATCCGTCGTCGTCAAACTTTGATGGTTCACGTCTGTACTCGTCATCCATATCGCTGATACGTTTCTTGTCCTTGCTGTCGCTCCTATCATAGCCTGACTTTTGGTAGGGTTCATAAGCATGGTCGTCATTCTCCGGGTACTTGTCATCTATATCACTTGGATACTTATCATCAGGGTTGTCGTCACGGCGATCATCATAGTTGTAGCGGTTACCATCCCGATCATAGCCATCATCACGGTCGTAGCTATAGCGACGACCATCACGATCATAGCCATCATCACGGTCGTAATCATCATCGTATCTGCGGTCATCGTCGCGGTAATAGTCACGATCCTCGTCATTGTAGTCGCGATCTTTGTCGTCATAGTCACGATCCTTGTCATTGTAGTCGCGATCTTTGTCATCATAGTCACGATCGCGGTCATCTTCAGGATAATCGCTGTAGCGGCGGTCATCATAATCGTCATCATACTTCCTGTCATCAAAGCCGCCATCATCCTTGCGGACATCGTCAAAGCTGCAATAACACGAAAAATAACAGTAAAAAATATGACAGATATCATTGTAGGATGAAATGTTGTGTGGAGATCTCTACACCTAAAAATATACATGTCTTTGTATTTTTAATGCCTCAACTCATATCTCTATACACCTGTTTCTGGCATTTTAAGAAGCACTTATATGTGGATTTTATATTTAGCATGCAGACTTTTAACTCATTCACCCCTTAAATTTCATGATGAACTATTCCAGCCTTTGAATTGGAAGAGTTCA